TGACTGAGCGACGACGAGCAAGTGCCGATCTAGGCTTTCCCTCGGATCAAAAGTGTACGATGAATCTCCTTTTCGTGTGAAAATGACGGATGCAAAGATCGCTTGGTCCATCTCATCCAATAAACGACGGCTGATTCCAGTTGTTCTATAGTCGTCATCTTGAGTTGCGGTCAACTTGAGGCTCTTGCAAGAATGCATTCTAACACTGACGAAAACTCTTCGTTCATCCTCACCCAAAGAGAGAAAAGATTTCTTGTGAATGGCCTTAAACAAAACTTTGTAGTAGAATCGGACGATGGCAAAACAACAGAAATCAGCCCTCGTCTTCTAGTATCTTCCTTATACACTTTCATACGAAAAGAGAGTCAACACCTTAACCGGAAACACAGCTTTCAACTTCGACCCTGGCAACGACAATTGCTATAGTGTCAATAAAATTGTGCGATCGAAGTCATTCAGGCGAGCAATTGTGCGGAGAAGAAGACTTGCTCGTTGGTGGTGGACAAACAATTTTATTGAGACAAAGCTTCCGAGTTGCGAAAGAGTCTGCAATCATTGTGAAATAAACTGTAAACTGTCCAACCTCTTGTGGTTAAGAGAGAGAGAGAGGCGATTGGAGTGACTCGAGGGGCAATAAGTCTCCGAAACAGTTGCAATCTGAGCGAGCAATCCGACTCCCCTTGACCTCTGAAAGGCCACATGGGCAAACGCCGCATAGAAACAGACGAGCACCGGGGGTAGGAGTCTGCGACAACGGCCTTCGTGGACATGAGGCCTTGAGGGCGCCGCCTCCAAATCCATTCCGGGTCGGCCTGCTGGCAGCATCAAAGCAGACACCACATGCTAACACACAGCTAAGCGCCATGTGCACCTGACATCACAGGTCAGGGTAGTGTCACGTCAAAAGGAAAACGGTTCGAGGCGCATACATCACGTTAAGGTAAACAGTGTGTTTGTTTCTCAAAACACAGCATCCATAAACGAAGACAACTGTTCCATGCAGATATACTCGGCTCGGCGAAAATGTCTTCAAAGGAAACTCGGGGCTTCCGCAACTGGTATACTCCTAATAAGGAAGATTATACATGATAAGTAGAGCTTGACTAAGAATTTTATTCACACTAAGTGACTAAAGGTAAGGAGGGACTGATAGTTTAGCTTTTCCCAAAGCGTGTGGTTATGCCTGATGAGTAGTATATTCAGAGAAAGTAGGTTTCGAAACTATCATAAAATTTTAAATAAAACCTTTAGTCACTCCAAGTCTCATGAAATGATGAAGAACTGATAGTTAAATTTCCCCATAATTCTTTTAACCCTGAGTACTACTCAAATACAGCATCGTGGGAAAATTCAACTATCATCACCTTATGCGACCTACGGTGATTGAAGCTGGTGAGAGATATTTGAAATACACAGAAAAAAAGAATGCAATCATGATGAGCAGGTTTTCGAGGAGGTTTTCTATAAGGAATGTGATAAAGTTGGGTTTTTCCCAAAATACTTCCAGTAGATCTGATGAATAGTAGCTGCAAATGAAGGAAAGAGACGTGCAGTCTTGATGAGTAGGCTTTCGAGACTATCAAACTCATAAAAATATAAGACCAAATCACGATGCTAATCAAATTCACTTTGACTTATAAAAAAAGTTGATCTTTTAAGCTTCTCTTAAAAGAATTATGTCGGCGTACCCCAAAGATAGGTATAAGGAAAGTGTTGGATTTCAGCTGGGTAACCTTCTTGATTTAGCGTTTACTTATATGACGGTTCTAGGCTTTGACGATGTCTGCCGCCCGACAGATGAAATCTCAGCCGCAGGAAAGCTAGGAGAAGTCTTCTTCAAACAATCAGAAGTCACAAATCCAAGGTAATTCTCTTTGGGTTATTAAAAAGGTCAACTTATTAATCCCTTCCACCCGCCTCTTCGAATAAAATGTTACGCCATAATGAATTTCACTTGGAGTTGCTTTCTGGACTACAGTAGCAACATCACCAGCCTTCAAAATCAGATCGTAAGTGTAGTAGTTAAGTAAACTGCGGTGGAGTGGCATACTCATTTCATTTAATTAGCTTCCCTTTATCATACAGTGCATCCTAGGTTAAATATATTTCTTATGCAAGCTCTACTAAATGGTACATGATTGGGCCTCACTGCAAATAGACGTATGAGTTGTTTTTACCTTATCTCGTTTAAAGTGATGAAGGACTGGTAGTTGAAATTTTCCACAATGATGTGAGTAGAGCTGATGTTTTCCATTGAATTTCACATAGCTTTGCTTTCCTAAAAGATGTTCTCATCTAAGGAGGACTGTAGTTTTGATTTATGTGAAATTCAATGGAAACGTCAGTTCTACTCTTATCGTTGTTGGAAAATTCAACTATCAGTCCTTCATTAACTTAACCGAAATAAAGTGAAAACAACTCATATAACTGATTTACTGGTAGTTTCTAAAACCTACTCACGCACGAAACAAGTCGAAGATCCCCGGAATTACGATTTTAGATTAAGCCAAATAAATCTTCAGCGGACCGTTTCTCGAGCCATTGAAAGAATGCTTACTATCGCAAATCTGCATGCACAAGTACACGACAATCTTCCCTCGGCTTCTGGTGAGGCAAATGTACGGGGTCCTAACACTCGCCCTTTCAAACGAGATGCAGTGTAAGACAACATAAAGTTACTAATAGATTCTTCGAAATTCAGCTTCCCCTTATTACTATGAAACAGACTCATTAATAATATAAGTAACATAGTCGATTGTAATGACAAATCCATGTTGGCCCACAAATAATCTCATTAGAAAGGTGTGAAAGGGGGCTGGCCTGGCCTGCCTTGAAAGTCACATCTGTTCAGACGTGAAAAGTAGTCGGGTTTTGAAAGATCCTTCAAGAGATTTATTCGAAGGGTTTCTTGAAAGTGTACACATTGAATTGTTTGAAAAGATCATGTGACCCCGATATTTCTATGCTGAACTATCTTCTGTCATGTGATAGAAACGAACTAAGCCAGAAAGCCGCATTTATTAAAAGTTCATCAAAATAAGAATTTTTTTCTTGTGGAACAATTCAGCTATAGATTCTTCTTCATTGTATGCCACCTCGAGTGACCACAGCTCGAGTATCTTTCAAAAATTCAATTTATCACCTAAAATGAAATAAGGTGTATACATCTGATATAAGTGATGAAGTTGCCGTAGTACTCGCAACCAATTTCGAATCCCTTAAGGATGTTGGCTGGGCCAAGTGTGCAGATCGGCCTGAATTGGATATCTTGAAGGAGGAGGAAGTGAATGGCATCTTCAGGCTTTTTGATATCATTGTGAGATGCCTGTACTATAAGTAAGTACATACATAAAAGA